TAACTAGTGTTTTGCAGTGTTGTGCACATTTTAGCTAGTGTTTTGCAGTGTTTTGCAGATTTTAGCTAGCGTTTTGCAACATAGCTTGTGTTCTACTTCATTTAGTTTAACATGTCAGTTTCAACTTCTTGAGCAAATTTCTGCAAAGTGATAAGCATTCTGTAGTTACTTTTACACAAGTAAAATCCATAATAATTTCAGATTACATTTTGGGAATATTTGCATTGTTAAAATGAAGCCCCTCAAAAAAGGTCAAAACAGCTGGATGTGGCTACTAACTGTGAAGTGATTTACTAATGTTTAAAGTGTGCAGTAGAATCCTGACAACCTACAGTGAAATCAGAAGGAGAGGACTCACTGTGCTACACTGATGGCGACCGGCAGACAGGCGAGACTCAAGCCGATCAGCAACACACCAAGGAAGAAGAAAGAGGAGCTGGATGCTCGGAATGGACGTGTCGCTGGGCGACAGTTGTGAATCAATGTTACCTAACAAAAAAGGAGCAAAGACAAAAAAAAAAAGATTTTTCTAACATCCTTTCTAAATGTCTGTTTTAATAGAGCCTGACCGATATATCAGCAGGGCCGATATTTAAGGCCGATATAGGTGTTTGGAGACATATTGGTATTGTTGATAATTGTGCAGATATAAACACTGGGAACAAGCTTACTTGTTAAATTGTACAATGCATCCAGCAGAGGGCGCATGCGGACTACTTTCAAGTGATGGCCATTCAATTTAACTTTCACTTTCAGCACAGCTGAAGCAGAGAACAATTGTGTAGTATATTTTGCTGAACAGAGCATGGCAAGTTTATTTTAACTGCTATGTAAAATAAAATAAATCAACAATAAATTCTCTTCGATCCTCCAACCCGTTTGTCATTAGCGACACAACTCTCAAGTTAGCAAGCTAGCGTTTAGATAACCTAGCATAGGTTATTGTCTTGTAAAACTTTAGCCAGAACAATAAATCTAACATAGAGGTAAAATATATTGGTGTTAGTAACATTACCTTTGTCGTCTTCAGTGAAATGCTTTGTTTGTCTGAAATATTTACTTCTCCATTCATCCATCCATCCATTATCTTTTTACCCACTTCTTCCTTTTTTGGGTCACGGGAGTCACTGGTGCCCATGTCCAGCTACTGTGTGAGAGGCAGGGGACACCCTGGACAGGTCTCCAGTCCATCACAGGGACACACGGAGACAAACAACATTTCACTCTCTCACTCACACCTAGGGACAATTTAGAGTTACCAATCAGCCTAACATGCACGTTTTTGGTCTGCGGGAGAAAACCGGAGTACCTGGAGAAAACCCACGCATGCACGGAGAGAACATGCAAACTCCACCCAGAAAGGTCCCCGGGCGGTATTTGAACCGGCGACCTTCTCACTGAGAGGCAACAGCTCTACCAACTGTGCCGCCCCTCTTTATTTCTCTACAAGGAAATAAACGCTGCTGCGGTCAATACTAATTAGACATTCACCATAGGTGACTGACTGTTCAAACAATGATCAGTGAAGGGTGTTTCTTTGTTTAATTTATATTTATGTAACACTTGATAACTTTATGGTGAATAGTAGAAGATAGAAAATGTGATCGTACGTTAGGAAGACTGTTTTAAGACTTCAAGTGTTAAAACGGGTTTAAAAGAAGCATTTTATTATATCCTTGGGGGGTGGACAAAGCTCAAATATTTTCAGCAAAAATATCGGTTAGCAGCATTAACTATCCTTCCCAAGATTAGTATCGGTGATAGCCAAAAATTTCCATATTGGTCCAACTCTAAAAAAAATAAATAAATCAAGACCTTTTTGATGTAGAAGATGAAGAAGTATTTGATGGTGCAGATGGCAGGCAGAAGGGGACAGTAGAACGTGCCGATCCAGCAGATGGTTTGACCGTAAACTATTCCCAGCACGTTTTGAGGAATCGAAAACTCCTGCTCGCCCCACAACTTGGTCAAACCACATTTACAGTATTTTACAAGGAGCCTGCGGAAGACAGGGCATTGCAGCTGTTAGAAAGTGATTGCAAACATGACGGTAGAGGAATTCATTTTACAGAAAAGAAAAAAAAAAACTTAGGTAAACCTTAAAAACACAATCAAATGTAAAATCATTAATTAGAATACAAGTTAGACAGATAGCTAAATAAATTTAAAAGGACAGAAAAGGAGGGAAAAAGGTTTTGGTGAATTGTGTAACTAATTATCTTGTTCAAATCCTTCATAATTATAACTTGCTATATGGAGAGCTTGACTGCCTCCTTGGGATAAAACTTTTATTTCCTCGATTTTAGGAGAGCGATTCTTACTTTCGAGGAAACTCCACAAAGATGGTGACTGCAGCAATAATGATGAAGTCAAAGATGGTGAGTTTGTACATTTCCTGGCCCACTCGACTCTCCCAGCACTGCGGAGAGAAACAAAGATGCAAGAAATAAGTTTTAAAAAACAACTACGCACTAAAAAACAACTGTTGTACAGATGCCATTTTCATATATTGCTAGAACTCCAGCTACAATCTTTACATTTACATACACCCTAAATTTAATTAATTTATTCTATTTATACATGGAACCTCTTAACGTATACATCTGTGCCTTTCCGTTTTGTCTCAGGAGGACGCCGAAGATATTGGAATCATGATAGCTGCTGCTCTTTGGCACCGGTGGATACCTACGCTATCGGCTATTAAAGACGACGGCAGCAGCAATTTTGGCCATGGCAAAGCTGCCGACCCTGTATGAAGGTTTGGTTCATGCTTCGAGCACTCAAAATCAGCTGATTTACGAGCTAAACCATAAGATGGAAGCGATTTGTGAGAATCGTAGGCCACTTGCGGATTTGGGACTCGCCAGCATGATGGGGACAACTTGGAGGGAGCTAATAAGCACGGACCAGTGGAATCCCCACAAATCTGGCCATTTTGGATTGAAAGTACCAGCAGAACTCAAGGTTGACGAGAAATAACAGTTTTCCTGAAGAAAATCAACAATTGTGGCTTATCTGAATCGGACTCTGTTTGTCCTCGAAGCAGGCCGGCTTATCAAATTTCTCCTGAGATATGTGTAAACCAAGAAAACAGTCTATCGCAACCCCCCTCACCCCCTGAACTTCTGTGAATGCTTATCAGAGCTGTACTGGCTGACACCAACATCTTAAGAGGACTATGGACTATCTGGAAGTGCTTCATGGACAAATCTCATGGTGTTGTTGTCAAATGCACATGCAATGTGTCTATAAATGTACTTGCTGGTAGAGTTTTTTGATGTCTTAAATCGTGTCCTGATAAGGACAAGGTGTGAAGAGATCTTTTTGGTTATACCACTATCCTCTCCTCATGGCCTTTTCCCCTTTTCTATCAAAAAGAATAAGGGTCCGTGCTCTTAGGAGCAGCATCAACGTGCACTCCACCAATCTTTCGGACGACTGTACAAACATAATCTCACTGCATTTTGGTACAATGATAATAAAGCTTATTCTAATTCTGACTTTAACTTCTCTTAACAACTACAGCACCAAATTATAGATCAACTCTAAAAATGACAGAGCTGTAGTGGTTTTGCCAAGGATTCTGAAGCAGCCATTTTGAACCAGGTTGACCCAAAATATTGATTAGTCATAGAGGCGCATCCAGTGATTTCATTAATTTCCATCCACTCTTTCATGGGGTATTTTAGAGCTCATGCAATCCTAAGAGTTTTTGACGATCTACTGTACGTTGCAACGGTTGCTTGAAACAACAATAGCATATATATTTGATAAATAATTTATGTTGCTGCACTCTTCTGTTTGCTTAGCAATGAAGTTGATAGAAGGCATTACATTTATTAAAACTTATTTAGAGGAGAACAACAATAGATATTGCCATAGCAAAGCATTGGAAGCAATACATAACAGGAGTAAACTTACAGAGTAAAGTTTGTGGTTGTAGCCACATTCACAAGTGAGCCCTTTACAATCACTGATCTGATACCAGAGAGAAAGAAGCAAAACTGCGATACTGGTCAACCGCATGAAGACGCATCTAAAAAGAACGAGAACAAAGAATTACAGCAACTTTTCAAGCTAACTGCAGGGAAGGTATGACTTTAATATTTGGAAATTCACTGTACCGCATGAGGGTGAAGCGGATCTCAAAGGCAGGTGAGTAGTCTTCGTAGGTAATGATCACAGAGAAGAGAAGGGGGGTGATGAAGTTGGCTAAGGTCATAACAATAGAGGGCAGATACTCATTGATTAGATCCATAATGAAATTCACCTGCAAGCAGAAGACATACGTAAATCAAGGTCTGAGGATTCAAAAACAAGGAACATTTAGGTGTGGCATTCTTAGAAGTAGAAGACACGAAGTCGTACAGCTAAGTGAGGAAAAGCAGTTAATAAATCAAACAAACGATAACAAGTGTGTATACAGCACATTATACGCCCATCAACAAAACTATTATACAACAGCAATAGCAATGGTCCAAACAAGCATACACCTTGATTAACATTTGACCTTGGTTTGTGACCTTGAGGCAGGGGTGATGAAAAGTATACAAGACACGTTGTCTAATGATGATGCATAGGTGTATCAAGTTTCACTCAACTGTCTTGAGTGGATCAGAAGTTATTGGCCAGACAAGAGAAAGTTTAGGGACCTACAACCCTATTGACATATTTTCCTTTTCCATCCATCCATTCATCCACACACCCACTCTCTTCTGCTTGTTCTGGAATTGGGTCTTGAGGACAGCAGCTTAGGCAGGAAGGCCCCAACATCTTTCTCCACCTCTCTTTTGGGAGAACTCCAGGACGTTCCATCAAACATACTCCAAGAACCTCTCTAGTGAGACAACCAGGGGGCATTCTTCCCAGATGCCCAAAACCACATGAACTGGCTCCTCTCAATGTGGAACAGCAGCTGCTCTACTCAGTCTCTAGATAAATGAACTTCTCACCCTATGTCTCAGAGGGAGTCCAGCTACCCAGCAGAGAAAACTCATTTCAGCCTCTTGTATCTGAACTCTCATTGTTTCGGTCACTACCCAAAGCTTTTGACCACAGCTGAGAGTAGGAAGGTTGACCAACCAGTAATCGGAGAGCTTCCCCTTATAGCTCAGCTCCCTCTTCACCACAACAGACTGGCACAGAGTCCGCAATACTGCAGAAGCTACAGCGATCCATCTTTCAATCTCCTTCTCCATTCTTCCCTGGCTTGTGAACAAAACTCCTCCACTGAGGCAGAACCTCATTCCCAACCCGGAGGGGGGCATCCACCCTTTTCCCACTATGGACCATGGCCTCAGATTTGGAGGTGCTGAGCTTCATCCCAGCTGCTTCTCACTTGGCTGTGAACTCCTCCAGTGAGAGATAGTTGGAATAGAATCTGTGACAACGGGCAGCCATGGCAGAATCCATCTCCCACCCTGAAGGGTTCCTACTTACCTTCTGTTCTGCTTGTATAGATACTGAATGGCCCATAGCAACGGACTCCAATCCCATACACAGAGCACTTCCTACAGTGTACCTCAAGGCCACCTTTACAATTCTTTAAAAAAAAAAACCTGCTTCAAAATACTAGCTCTATTTTTGTCTTGTGCTACTTTCAGTTTTTAGTTACGTGCATTTCAGCAAAATCATTCAGCGTTCACGTGAATGAATGAACTTTATTTAAAAAGGGACAATGTCCAACTCAAACATAAATGTCACCATCTGATGCGCTGTACCAGATTATAGCAAAAGCTAATTCGCATCTGCAGTCCCTTGACAAGTTAAAAGAAAAATGGATATACAATGCACTAATAAAATAAGACAGAAAATATAAAACTATAAATTGCTAGTGACATTTTCTTAGTTACCTTTCTATTCTTGGGGTCTGCCTGCTGGGAAAACATGGTGGCTTTATAAATGCTGTAGAAGCAAGCAGCCAGCACGCTAATGACGAAAAGGTTGAGGACGAACCGGATTAGGTAAATCCGTAACTTCTGTGTTTTGGTACGACGTGCCATTTTCAGTTTGATCCTCTCCTCTTCCAAATCTGTCTGAGGAAAGATGAGACGTACAACTTTAAAATGAGGTCGGATGATCATTTTTAAACTCTCAACACCCTGAGATATGGTAAAGAAACAAATTTGACTGACATTTTAGTTGTGGAATGTGATTAGGCACAAACTTGGTCTAAATCTGAATCTACTCAATAATCAGCGATGAAACATCAAAATTATAGTTAGAAGTGTATATACTCTATATCTTGAAGTAAATTACTTTCCTCTTTCTCCTTGCTTGGAAAGTACATAATCACCCAACACCAAAGAGCAATTGGAGAAATTGCATTTCCTGTGAAAATGCAGTGTGAATACTTATTGCTGAAAAACTTGCTGAAAAACAGCTGAAATTAGCTAAAAGCATGCTGAAATGTAGCTGAAATAGAAGAACAAGCCTAAGTTTGCAGAAGAAAGCGGAAAGAACACATATTTGCTAAATTAGATTTAAATAAGCAAAAATGAGCCGAAAAATTAGCAAAAAAAACATGAAAAGTAGCTGAAAAGGCTGAAAGAAGCTTAAACTACCAGAAGTGGAAGGAGCTGAAATTAACTAAAAAGGTGGATATTAGTTGAAAATGCTAAATCTAGCACAAAACAGCTAAAAAAGTAGATGAAATAGCAGAAAAAGCTGAAAATAGCAGAAAAAAATGGAAAGGAGCTGAAATTAGAAGAAAGAGCTTAATTAGGCTGAAAGTAGCATAAATTGCCAAAAATAACTTGAATTAACTGAAAACTGCTGAAATTAGCTGAAAAATCTAAAACACTAAAAAAGTAGCTGAAAAGGTAGAACAAGCTTAAATTAGCAGAAATGAGCAATACAAAGTGAATACTGTTTGAAAAAAGCTGAAATTGGCAACAACAAAACAACAGCTGAAATGTAGCTAAAATTTTCCAAATGAAGCTTAGATTACCAGAAGGAAGCGGAGAGCACACTTTTGATGAATTAGGCTGAGATAAGTTGAATATGAGTGCAAAAAATGTGGAATTAGCCAAAAAAAAAAAAGGTAAAATTAGCATAAAAAACATCTAAATAGTAGCTGAAATAGCAGAAAAAGCTGAAACTTGCAGAAATAAGCTGAAAGGAGCATAACAAGCTAAAACCGGCAGAAAGAAGTTAGAAGAAGCACAACAATCTTCTAGTTAGCAGAAATAATCTGAAAGAAGCACAAAACAGCTGAAAAAACATCTGAAATCAGCTGAAAGTAGTTGAAAAATAGTTTAAATTTGCACAAGAAAGCTGAAAGAAGCTGAACCAGAACAAAAGGTGAAAGGAGCAGTAAAAGATTGTAAACGGATCTAAAGATGTAAAATGAACTCAGTTCACATTCTACAAGAAATAAAAATATCAGAAAAGGCTAAATATTTTAAAAAGCTAAAGTTGCACCAATACCAAAAGTCATAGCAGGATTCTCCTGAACGAGCTGAATGTTTAATGATTTGTTGAAATAGCACAAAAAATGTGGAATGAGAAAGATGCCAAAAAACGTACAGAAGAAAAATGGATCACAACAGTGTGAATGCTTCATAAACATTCACAAAATAATGTTTTTGCCAGCCTAAACTGGGTGGGCTTCAACAGTTAATCAGTTATGGAGATGCATCCAATGATAATTTACTAGACATTTTATAGAAAACGTGACATTTCGCTGACAGAGTTAGTGAATTTTACACAAAGATGTGCAAGCTAATAGAGCTCAGAGTATCATTTAGGGATCAGGCTTGGCTACTACCACACCAAATTTCAGCTCAGTATCAATAAAATTTACTGAATTATAGCATTTTTTGTGTTTGTTTGTGTTCTTTATTACAATCTGTTGGTTGTGGCAGCCATTTTAAGTCAGGTTGACACCAAATGCACATTCAATATATCTTTATGTAAGTTTGGTTCATGATATTTTAATAATAGATGCACAAATCTGCCATTAACAAAACACCATTTAATCAAAATTGTTGATTTGTTATTGGCAAAGGCAGTTGGTACAGTAGTCTGTTTACCATGGGGGTTTGGGACCCTGCACCCCCACGATAAGTGAAAAACCGCAAAGTAGAGATACAGTGGTCCAAGTTCAAGTAAGCTTTATTGTCATTACCATCTCATATGGTACATGAGATGGAACAAAATTATGTACACAAGTAGTAGTAGTTTATTTTAGTATTTACTATAGTAGTAAGTAATAATTTTAGTATATACCCTTCCCACACTCTTGAAAGGTTCTTAACAATTTTCTAAACTCAAAGCGCACTAAAAGAGCACAGCTGTCATGTCATGATCTCAGCTCTCTGCCTCCGCTGCTCTCTGCCGCCTGCCAGCGCTCTCGGCCACGCCCACTTCGCTGCAGAGCGGAGATACGACACGCTGCAGGAGAACTGCACACAGGTGCAGCAGGTGCTAAATCATTTTAAATAATTTAAATAAAAATTCCATGCCGATGGTGCGGCTCATCCATCAATCAGCGAATTGTGTGTCATGTCCAATCTTACTTTGAAAAACCACGACAGAGCGAGTCCGCGACAAACGAATTACATTTATTTATTTATTTATTGTTGGACTAATGATAAATGAGTGGCCCAGCCCTTATGAAAGAATACCAAACTAACCTTGAGCTCGTACAGCAGACTGCTTTTCTTCAGCATTTCCGTGGTCTTGTCGGTGATGCAGAAATCCCAACCAGCAAAAACTTTGTTGCAAAAACTCTGAAAGCGATCCTCATCCTGGATCAGGCTACGTTTAAATCCTGTCGCCGATCTCGAAAAAGATAATACGATTAAACCCACTACAATTTAAGCATGTCAAATTTATAATGAGTTAGCCTTTTATGTACCTTTTAACTATCCAGATAAGACTGAATAAGAGGTAGACTATGGTTGTCAGCAAGTACGCCAGTGCCAAATTATATATGCAGTGTGAAAAGTGGATTTTCTCCACATTGTAGAAACCATAGAAAAGGTAGGTTTGTTCCATAAAACCCTGCAGATTAAACATAAAACGTAAACCCAGACTTGTATCGAGGGATCCTAAGAGTCAAGAGCTGGACATGAACTTACTTCACCAGAAAGCAGGTCTGTAATATGCTCATGAAAGTTGACAAGACCCCGACGAGCGCTGCTTGGATACACGTTGCAGTTGACACCTAAACAAACAGATACGCTTAAATTTGTTACGTATTTAGTCTCTGCTTCGGAGTGAAACAGTTAGACTCACCGTTGTTCAGGTTAAAGGTGATATTTGCTGAAGTGTGGGGCACAATGATGATGGGGAGCATGACAAAACTGAACATGAGCAGAAAAATAAATAGGTTGAGCATCACCAGGAAGCGCAAAAAAGAGAAATACGACAGGATCCCAGTACCAAACATTCCTGTGAACAAACAACGAGACAACGGGGAAGAGGTTAGGGCTAAAAGAGCCAAAACACAACAGATACTTTCTGAATTTCTTTACTGGAAAGACTTCAGGGGGTTCCCTCACCCTCTATCTGGTGGATGTCCCCCCTCCACAGCTGCAGAGAGCTTAGCGTCACTTCAGCAGCTTCTTTCAGCCACCTCACATATACACGACTGCTTTGCCTCCACTGTCTCCAGCTGCTCAAATCTTCACTCTTTTTCAAACGTTTAGCCCTATTAAACACAACACAGTACTTAGTAGATAAGTGGAAGTAACATTACATTTGTGACAACATTTAGACATTTAATGTGCATAAAAGATGGAAAAGTTTGCCCACAGTTCTCTACGTTTCTCAGCCATGGGCATGGGTAGTTCCTTGACGAGCCGCTGCTCCATCTGAGTCTTCTGTTTCTCCTCACTCCGACTGACAGTTGGCTCGGTCCATTTCTCGCTGTCAGAGTGGCTGAGCTTCGTTCTAGTACTAGTTTTATGTTTGGTGGAGCCTGCTGACGATCTTCTGCGATAGAGGAGGGACTGGTAGCTTGGCAGCTGGTCCAGCAGTGGGTTCCGCCCACTGTGCTCTGTGAAGAACACTTGAAGAAAGGACAAAACCACCTTTGATGATGTTGATGATGCTATACTTTTTATGGTGTTTGCTATAATTAAGGGTGTCCCGATACAATTTATTTTCAAGTTCAAGTACAAGTACTTCAGTATGGGAAATTGCCAATATTGAGTACCAATACAGAGTAGATAAAGAGTTAGTACTTAGACATTACATGACGACTTTAGAAACCCATTTCTTTTAAAAAGAACACAGCAAACTGTTGCATGTACTGGTTTGAAGTATTGGGGTGTTTCGATTAGGACTGGGCGATGTATCAAATATTATACTTAATGTGTTGCGAGTTTTTCGATTTACGATGGTTAAAATGGCTCTGCTCCTCCTTGAATCACCACCTTATCGTGGTGAAGGAGTTTGTGCACCTGAATGATCCTAGGAGCTTTGCTGTCTGGGACAATTTTAATTGCCCCTGGTAGGGTCTCCCAAGACAGATTGGTTCTAGGTGACAGGCCAGACAAAGAGCAATTCCAAAAACTCTTATAGACATGAAACAACAAGGAACTCAGTGACCCTTGCCTGGATGTGGGCTACCGGGGCCCCACCCTGGAGCCAGGCCTGGGGGAGGGGCTCACCAGTGAGCGCTTAGTGACTGGGTCTCTGGCCATGGGGCCCGGTCGGGCTCAGCCCGAATGAGCAACATGGGTTTGCCTTCCTGTGGGCCCACCACCTGCAGGATGGGCCATATGGGTGCATGAATCCATGGGCAGTGGCCGAAGGCGAGGACCTTGGTGCTCTGACCGTGGCTTACCAAAGCCGGCTTTTGGGACATGAAACGTGACCTCTCTGGTGGGGAAGGAGGCTGAGGTTGTGCGTGAGGTTAAGAGGTACCGACTAGATATAGTTGGGCTCACCTCGATGCACGGTATGGGCTCTGGAACTAATCTCTTTGAGAGGGGATGGACCTTATTCCACTCTGAAGTTGCCCATGGTAAGAGGCGCTGAGCTGGTGTGGGTATACTCAGCCCCTCAACTTGGTACCTGTGTGTTGGAGTTTTCCCAGGTAGATGAGAGGGTAGTTTCCCTGTGCATTTGGGTTGGGGGATGGGCTCTGACTGTTGCTTGTGCCTATGTATGCGCCGAACGGTAGTTCAGAGTATCTGGCCTTCTTGGAGTCCTTGGCGAGGGTGCTGTATGGTGTGCCAGCTGGGGATTCCTTTATTCTGCTGGGGGACTTCAATGCCCACGTGGGTAATGACAGTGTGACCTGGAGGGGCGTGATTGGGAGGAATGGCTTCTCTGATCCGAACCCGAGAGGTGTTCTGTTGTTGGATTTCTGTGCCAGTCATAGTTTGTCTATCACAAACAACATGTTCGAACATAAGGGTGTCCATAAGTGCACTTGGCACCAGGACGCCCTTTTGTCATAGATCAATGATTGACTTTGTATTTGTGTCATTTGATTTGCGGCCATTTGTTTTGGACACTCGGGTGAAGAGAGGAGCTGAGCTGTCAACTGATCACCACCTGGAAGTGAGTTGGATAAGATGGGAAGGGAAGATGCCAGACAGACCCGGTAGAGCCAAATGTGTAGTGAGGGTAGGGTTGGACAATATGGCCAAAACTTTTATCACAATATATTTCTTAATTTCGATAGATAATGGTATAATTCGATATCAATAGTGTTTTGCACATTTTAGCTGGTTTTTCACACCTTCTAGTGTTTCACACCTTACACACATCCTTATATACTGTACATCCTTATATGCATCTTTTAGCTAGTGTTTTACACTTTATAGCTAATGGTTTGAACCTTTTAGCTATTGTTTTGAATTTTTTAGCTAGTGTTTTACACATTTTAGCCAGTATTTTTGCAACTTTTACCTAGTGTTTTGCAACTTTTAGCTAGTATTTTTCACATTTTAGCTAGTGTTATGCAACTTTTAGATAAAGTTTAGTTCATTTTAGCTAGTGTTTTGCAACTTTTAGATACAGTTTAGTTCATTTTAGCTAGTGTTTTGCAACTTTTTGCTAGCGTTATGCACATTTCAGGTAGTGTTTTGCAACTTTTAGCAAAAAGTTTTGCACATTTTAGTGTGTTCTACAACTTTTAGCTAGTGTTTTGCACGTCAGCTGGTTTTTCACACCTTCGAGCATCTAGCTAGTGTTTCACACAAGCAAATGCTTTGAACCTTATAGCTAGTGTTTTGCATCTTTTGGCTAGTGTTTTGCAACTTTTAGATCACATTTAGCACATTTAAAGCTAGTGCGTTGCAACTTTTAGCTAATGTTTTGCACATTTTAATGCGTTCCACAACTTTTAGCTAGTGTTCTGCTAGTTTTAGGCACATTTTAGGTAGTGCTTTGCAACATAGCTTGTGTTCTACTTCATTTATTTTAAAAAGTCAGTTTCAACTTCTTGAGCAAAATTCTGCAAAGACATTAAGCATTCTGTAGTAACTTTTACACAAGTAAAATCCATTAAATTTCAGATTACATTTTGGGATTATTTGTGTAAATATATTATTGATATTTAACACACACACACACACACACACACACACACACACACAGCCTTGTTTATATCACCTAGTTGGGACTCAAGACAAGGCCATGCTTTCTGGGAACCTCCCTTTCTGAAGGTAATACAGCTCTGCAAAAAATCATGTAGCATGCTAGAGGGGCAGGGAACAAAGAGGGCACTTTGAATTTACAATAAGACAAAGTAGAGTTCCCAACTTGACAAGAACCTGCTTATTGGGGACTTCTCAGGTTTTTAGTACTGAGTGGGGTAATACATACACACTTGTCAGGTTTTCAGTACTGAGTGG